CATTCCTGCGTGCTCTGTATTGAGCACAGTGCCATGATTTTTGTTTCAGTGACCGCAAAGCTTGAATGTAGCCTGATGGAAGCAGAGTTTCCTAGACCTCACTGGTATCTGAGTCCAGGTGATTTTCAAGAGAGTTGATATCCACCTGTAGCAATGGTTAACTTAACTGCTAGGTGAGAATAGAAGGCTTTTTCCTTAAAGTAAATAAAGAGGGATGCTGGAACATCTCTCTGTAGCTGCCTGGTGCACGGTATGGAAGAGGGCGCATATCCTCGACCAACTTAGTTCCACCAAAAGTCCTCCTTGAAGTGGAATTCTCTGCTGCTTGATATTTCTCCCCATCTAGTAATCTTTCCTGGCTTTTTTCCTTGCAGTCCCAGTTGGACTAGCAACACATATGTGTGCTTAGGGACTTCTGCAACCACAATGGGACATGCAGATGGGTAACATCTCAAAATCCACTAAATATAGTCCTTATATGAATAAGATATTTAACTTTCAGTCAATAATCTAGTTATTTGTTTTTCAAGGTCTACAAAGATGAAAAGACTGTAGTCATTAAGGATAAATATCCCAAAGCACGTTACCACTGGCTTATCTTACCATGGGACCCCATTTCAAGCCTGAAGTCAGTCACCAGGGACCATCTTGAGCTCCTGGAACATATGCATGCAGTTGGGCAAAAAATGATCGAACGGTGCCCTGCCAGAGAGAGTCTGGAGTTCAGACTGGGTTACCATGCTATCCCCAGTATGAGGTAAGACCTAGATGAGTCATCAGTTGGAGACCCTGTTCTTCCGGTTATACAGATTTGGGGCGAAATCTGTAATGTGATCTGGCACTGCTAAAGAACAACGTATCCTCCTAAACACTACGGACAGTTTGGTGTCCAAGTCCCTTGGGTGCAGCTGTGCACGCGCTGCTGCGTACATGCCGGTGGGCTAGGCAGGTGTCGTGGGTCAGGTGGGAAATGCCTGTGGGGTTCCCCTAGCAGAGGTCTGTAGCTGGGGCTACAG